TCAAACCCAGACAGCGTATCGCTGAACCTAGTGGTATTCAACTGGGGAAATATGGATCGAGCGCCGGTGCCCGCAGGGAATCCCAAAAAGAAGCTCAAACCTGAGAAGGGATTCGATTATCACCCTCTTATTGACATGTGCTTCAACAATTCAGCTCATATTACCCTCGTACTCGAGGCAGGAGCACTTGCGTCAGAGTATTCAATCGCAACCATGCGAAAACACGAATACAGGGGGATGCTAATCCACTCTCCTCCCAAGGAGCCTGAGGCACCCTCAATGTACATTGGAGTCAAGGGTGACCCAACAACAGACATCGCTCTCGTCCACCACTTCTACCGTCATCGAACCATGAAGCCTAAGAATGGTGGTCCCAAGAAGCGACTGTGGGCATGCCACGGTGCGGTGTGCCGCCTCACATTTGGGTACCACAGTACCATACCAGAGGCAAAAGAATGGGTCCACCCAAATTCTGGCCAAAGGATGACGAGAGACGAGTTCATGCAGATTATCGGATATGATCCACTCAAGGGCAAAAATCCTGACAAGGATGGACCCACTGATGGCTCTTACCTCTCACCAGAGGCGTGTCTGACATTGTCGACCCTCGACCCCTCGCCGATTCTCTGTGAATGGAACGGCCATGTCGAGGGTGATGAGCCACCAGAGGAAGACTTTGAGACATACGCAGAGATCTTCTCACAAGAAGCATCTAATGATCTTGACGAGATGTGGTGTACAAAAGGGCCTTACAAGGTCATCACCATCGCGATCGTCCATTTCAACTCGTTCATGACTCATAAGGAAGAACAGAGACGCGAACTGGTGAACGCGTTCCTCAACGAGGTTCTCCCTTTTAAACCGGATGTAATAGCGGGAGATCTCAATAATATTGCGTCGAGGCTCACCTTAAAAGGTGGAGACGTTCACCCGCGAAACAGTTTGTTTTCTCTATACCTGGAGAAGAAACTTGCAGCATTCAACAAAATAGCAGGAAGGCACTCACAAGTGCGACATCTTTGCTTGAACAACTCCGACCAGCACAGACTGGCACGTGCAGATCGTCTACCGGCGGACCCGGCGAAGAAAGTTGCTGACCTTGACTGTATCAACAGTTATATCCTTGACTGGAGTAAAACGCCGCACACGGCGTCACCTAGTCCAAGAGAGGTCACACCTGCCGCTGAAAGAACATACTGGGAACGAATCTCAGATATGTGGCAGGACACGAACAACAACAGGGATATTGATATCCGTCTGTTTGTCTCAGTCAAGCAGTACTATTCAACTTTTTCTAACCTTGACCTATGGTTGAGTCCCTCTGACAAAGATTGGCACAGCCCTTTGGGCTTCACGATACAACCAATCCTTACAAAAGGGAAACACAACCGGTCAGATGCCCAGGTCCAGAAGATCGCTGACAAGCGAAAGGCTTACAAGCAGCGTAATGCTGAATACTGGGGTTACAACGATTCATTCGTTTACTCATCCGGCAACAGCTGGTACGACAAATCGCAACCATCAGGTAGCCATCACAGATATGGAAGATTCTGGGAGTGGCCACAGCCTGAACGTCCCAGCGAGCCTGAAGGTCCTCCTCCAAGAAGGAACCAGGAATCATCGTCCTCTTCACAACAAGATCTACCAAGATCAAGGTCCAGGCCTCAAAGAACCAATATTGTTGACAAGCTCAACATGTCTTTGGAAGAGCTGGATGGACTAGAAGAAGAACCGTCACCAACAAAAAGTGACATCGAAGAACACGAAAGAGAAACATCAAACTTGATGTCTGCTCAGAGAGATGAAGAGGAACAAGAGGACGAATCCTCCAGTCGGAGAAGAAGAAGGAAGGCATCGCGTCCACCGTCTGCTCCGAGCGGCAAGGCACTCAGAACAGCTGCTACAGCAGCGGGGTTGTCGGGCTGGTTCGGACACCGCAACCGAGGTGGAGCAAACGCAGAGTCTACCAAGACTGATGAAACTTCACTTCCAGACTCACTAACCAGTGAGCAAGACTTCTCCGTCTTCAGCATCACGTGGAATGTGTTCCTGCTGCTAATGGGCTTACACTGGATGTGGAAGCAGATTACCAGGCCTCCTATCAGATGTATGGAGCGCCATCAACCAAAATCAAGAGCAGCAGCGAACCAAAGAGTTCCATTCCTCGAACCCGAGGATGAACCGCAGACTCGTGAACCTTTAGGACCCAACAGGGTCAATTCCGGAGAAACAACTGATCTGCGACCTATCTGGCATACTTCCCGAAGCGAAGTCTACCACCTCTCAGACAGCTGTTACCAGCTTAAGCAAGCAAGAGATGTTTGCAGGAAGGTGCTGTGCAAAAACTGCCTTCATGCAGTACAAGTTGCGGAGATTCGCAGGAATGATCCTTTCCAAAGAGGTGATACACGACCACGTGGCACCGAAAGAGACATTGAGCGCTTCCAGACCTACGATGATGCAAGTAACACTCCTCACATGACACAATTATTCCAGGATGCCTTGCATGCACAAATGGCCGAGGAAGCCATGCAGATTACCTATACATCGATCCCCAAGGGATCCTCGGCAAAAGCCAGAGGTACATCTGCACTCTCAAGTGCCGCATCGTCATCAGCGCCCAAGGCAATGCCACCAGGGCCTAACAAGGCAAACATATCACCTCCACCTAAGAGTCCTCCGCCAAAGGCGAAAGGAACAGTACCTTCTGCTCCTCCGAGACCAAAAGGTCCTACCAGAAGAGGAGGTCAAAATCGGCGTATTCAACGAAAGGCAGCCAGAGAAGCCCACAACAGTGGACTCTGCACTTATGCAGACGCTGCACTTGACGAAGCCAATCAAGGCCAGGCAATTAACGTTACGTGCCGAAACATAGTATCAAGACACGTCAGCTCTATCGATGCAACGGTAGAAGCAGCCGGCCAGTTTACACAACGCGTGCTACAGCACGTAGAAACATATGATGAAGAGGAACCGTGGAGCACGGAGTTCCTACCAGTCGTGGAAGTCCTATTCAGGAACTTAAGCGGCGACGAAACAACTGTCATACATGACAATCAAACGGTAACTATGCCTCTTGCGAAATACACAGACCTCCTCAGAATCGCACAAGCATTGCGAGGCTCTATCCAGAGAGACAAGGAGGAAAGAAAGGAACATCTTGACACCATCCAAGATACTCTATCCAGAGTGGAAATCCTTCTCACAGCACTGAAGGACTCAAGGACAGTCTTTAACCAATTGGTCCATTCCTCACTAGAGATAGAGCGAAGAAATAACAATCTCAAAAATGTCCTCGAGACACTTTTTGATGACCAAAGCTCTGAGGAAGACCAATCAGAATCTGACAATGAAGAAGTCCTAACTCCTTCTGCACCACAGTACTGGAATAGCCTTTATGCCCACGCCTTATCTCCTTCAGGAGATGAAAGCGAAAGATCATGGGCGTCCTCAGACGGACAGCTTGAAAGAAGAAGGGCTGAACGGGCAAAGGCTAAGCAGCCGCAACCGGCAAAAGCCAAGGCAACTCCAGTCAGCTCACAAGCTGCTCCAAAGGCCGAGCCAAAGGCGACAACATCCAACCATGGATATGATACTGCAGATGCCGCCTTCACCAGGGCTGAGAACAGATTACTCGGAATCTTTTCAAGTTCCGAAGAAGATCACTCAGACCCGGATGAGCCACATCCGAACGTCTATGCTCGAGCCTATGATCCAAACCTGGATCCGAATCTGAGATAGGAAAATTCTCAGAGTTTCACAATAGTGAATCGTAAGGCTCTAACAAGAGCACAATGAATGGCTGCATAATTCGGTAGTAGAACATCACCAGACCTGATCTTGTACAGATGATCTCTCTGACGAATATGCATGAGTGTGTGTGCAAAATGAGTGGAGTGTCCTCAGCAGTGTACTTCAGTGCTATACCTAGCATACATAATATGCTGTTTTTATAATGAGTCCAAAACTCCGCAACTGTGACAGTGGGCATAACAGTATATGTGTGAATGTGCGGCCATGCTTTCGGTAAAAGAAAATTAGTGTCTGTTTGAAACCATAAACCTCTAAAGGGGTAGCTCTAACAGGTACCTACAGCAATGGCTGCATGCTCATACATATACATTCCGCTGCCCATTGGCTCACAGTGGTTTTACCATATTGAGACAAGACAAGCTCTCCTTGCGTAGCAAGACAAAACAACTACTGTCCGTGTGCAGGGCGCTGCCCTTTGATCCTTAGGGAATAAACTGGTCATACACCTCCTTACAAGGAGTATCCCTTGGGGGTGTATCGGCACAGGGGGAGGGGGGTGGGGGGGGGAGGGGGGAGGGGAGGGGAAGCGAAGAAAATTGGGTTGGACTGCCTGCAGAAACCGCCGGACCTTGGGGCTCATCGACACGTTTCCATTTTTTAGGGGGGGGGGTGGCGTGGCCAGGATTTTGGGGGTGGGGTCACTGGGGAGGGGATTAAGAGGTGGGGAATAGGAGAATCCGAATAGGAACCTCTGACCGCTTCGGCCGGGGCCGAGGCGAATAACCGAACCCTCATCGAAGGGAGCGATGAGCCTCCTTTCAGCCCTTTTGGAATTAAGGAATAAGGTAAAAGCCAGAAAGTTGGAATATGATTATCGTAACCCCTTTAAGGTAAATTATAGGGGATCCTACCATTAATCTATATTCCAACTTTTCTGGAGTTCCCTGTATACCTTAAATGATAATAGGATGGATACCTAACATGGTTTACGGTATTCTGGGAACCCCCCAGAAGGAACCATAAACCCCAAACCCCGGCTGTGGTGCTTTTGGAAAAGGGCCCCAAACAACAAAAACATCCCCATACCCTAAACCAACGAAGGCTAAACCCTAAACCCTTAAACCCTAAACCCTTAAACCCTAAACCCTAAACCCTTGAACCCCTAAACCCTAAACCCTAAATTCCCTAAACCCTAAACCCTAAATCCCTAAACCCTAAACCCTAAACCCCTAAACCCTAAGCCGCAGGTTGCGAAACCCCGGTCTGAACAGCGGCCGGCACGAACCTTCGGCAGTGCGCCGGACGCGCTGAGCACATGGTGGCCCCCCGTCGGAGATGAGGTTTAGGGTTTAGGGCTCCTTTAACGGAACTCCTGGGTTTCCTGTAAGGGATCTATCAGGGGTTCCTATGAGGGATCTATAGGGTACTATCTAGGGTTTAGGGTGGGGTTGGGGTTTAGGATTTGGGGCTTGGGTTTTTGCCCTGGGGTTGGCTAGGATGCCCAGTAGTACCCTTATTCCCTTTTTGTAGTCCTAGGTTCCTTATAAAGTTACCCAATACCAAAAAGAGAGGCCTTTTTATTCTTAGGTTACTGGGTATCCTAGTTGGATTTTGCCCTGGGGTTGGGGTTAGGAGTGATCGTTGGATGTAGGCTAGTCCTTTGGATTTTGGGGTATACGAAGTGAGGGTTCCTAACGGGGTTTAGGGTCTAGGGTTTAGGGAGCTTTCTGAAGCCTTCATAGTCTATAGCCTTCTTAGCCAGGACATCGGGTGGTTCTCTTGTGTACGGGGGAAGCCCTGAGCCTAAGCCCTAAACCCTGAAACCCCTATGAGTACTTGGGTGGTTGTCAAAATTATGGTCCCTTTTTGGGTCCCTATAATACTACGCCACCTATTTTTAGGGTACCCAAATAGGGACCCTAAATTTGACAACCACCCACTTCTGTGCGCCGTACTGCGCGCTTCAGGTATTCGAGCTGCAAAGACGAGTGAGCCCGAGGAGGGGCCAAGGGGTCGACTTGGGTGGTTGTCAAAATTAAGGTTCCTTTTTGGGTACCCTAAGTAATGGTGCCGTGCTATATTAAGGACCCCAAAAGGGACCCTAATTTTGACAACCACCTACTGAAAGGATCCGGGGGCTTAGCAAGTGCTAGGATTTGGGGTTTAGGGTTATGAGCCAGGTGGCTGTAGCTACATCGCAGCTCCGTACACAGGAACGCCAAACTTATTGCTACAGGGACGCTATCTATGAGATCTTTCCACCTTCAGACAGAATAGAGGGCTTTCGAGGGACACTGTTCCAGTGGCTGCCATGTCATTTGGGGTCTCCAACATCCTGATGTAAGGGTTTAGGGAATAAAATATAGAGTTTAAACGCTTGCGGTTTGTGGCAACCACTGGCAGGCAACACCAGGGCAAACCGTGCACAAAGCAGCATGTCGATGCAAAAGCAGAGGCGGTGCGGCCTCAAATGCTGAGTTGCGGGTAAAAGCCAGGTTCCCGGAGCCTGCAAGCCGAACCCTAAACCCGAGACCCTCAACCCTAAACCCTCAACCCTAAACCCTCAACCCTAAACCCTCAACCCTAAACCCTCAACCCTAAGCCCTAAACCCTCGGCCTTCAATTCCTGGCATAGCAATCGAAGCCTGGACAGTTACCGGTTCACCTCTGAAAGGCTCCTGAAGATAAAATATACCTGGAGGATCATGGAACTTAGTAACTAAGGTAAGTTATAATTAAGGTAACTATACTCATAATTACTTATAACCCCATTTAGGGTACTTATAACCATACTTACTAAGTCCCATGATCCTCCAAGTATACGAGACTGTCATGTAGGAGCCTAACTAAGAAACTCAGGGCCGAGAACGCCAAAAATAGTAGGATTCATATAGGGAGTTTCCGAAAATTAGGGGTACCTTTTTTAGGGGTCCTTATAATAAGGATCCTACTATTTAGGGGTGCTATATTCGGGGCCCCCTATGGTCGGAAACTACCATATAGGGAACCCTTATGAACTCAAGAGGTTTCTTAATCAGGTTCCCACATTACCCCCAAACTCCGTTCTCGTAGTCAAGACTTTGAAACTGAGCCGTCGGGTCCGAACCCAGCCCTTAAACCCTACTTAGAGGATCATGGGACTTAGTAAGTAGGGTTCCTTAAAGGGCTCCTTAAAGGGATCTAGAGGGTTCCTTAAAGGGATCCATAGGGTTTAGGGTTTAGGGTCTACTTAGAGGATCATGGGACTTAGTAAGTAGGTTATAATTGGGGTTATAAGTCCCCTAAGTGGGGTTATCCTAATTATAACCTACTTATAACCGTACTTACTAAGTCCCATGAGCCTTTAAGTATCCCCCCTATCCTTCGTCCTAGGGACGTGTAAGTCTATGCTGTCTTTTCGCTCCGGTCCTGGGTGGGCTGGGTTTAGGGGGTTTAGGGTTAGTGGTAAAGTGGTTATTGACGCTACAAGAGAGCGGCTTGCAGGTTTACGGCATGGACGCTTTACTTCAGGAGTTCCTTTTCGCATTGCTGTCTGGCTATTAATCCCGAATTCTCTCCAGTGCTCCCTAAGGTTCCCTTAAGGTTCCCTAAGGATCCCTTGTACCCTCCCCCCTTGAGCCATCCTCCCTCAAGGACCCTATAGCTAAAGGGCTTCTATTAGGGCTTGAGGGATCATGGTTTAAAGGTTTCTTAAACCCTAAACTCAAAGCCCTGAAACAGGATCCCTCAAAGGCGCCCTTAAAGGATACCTTAAAGGAGCCCTTAAAGGATCTCTCAAAGGAGCCCTTAAAGGATCCCTTAAAGGAGCCCTTGAAGGATCCCTTACGGGTTCTTGCTGGAGGGGTTGTGTGGGGTTTCTTGCGGGATCTTCGAAGGCTTCAGCGCTTGAGAATGGTCCCTAGGATGCCCAGTAATACCCTTATTCCCTTTTTAAAGGGATCTATAAGGGTTCCTTAAAGGGATCTACAAGGGTTCTCTAAAGGGTTTAGGGTTTCCGAAAATTAGGGCCTAGGATGCCCAGTAGTACCGTTATTCCCTTTTTGTAGTCCTAGGTTCCTTATAAAGTTGCCCAATACCAAAAAGATGCCTTTTTATTCTTAGGTTACTGGCTATCCTAGGTCCAGTATCAGAAGCTTAGGGTCTATACGGTTGGTGATATAAATCCTGCACTACCCATTATAAGGAATGTAACATAACTCCCATAGTTTCGGGTCCTTAAGGTAATGCAGGGTTTATATCATCAACCGTAGTAAACCCCAAAAAGTTGGAAACCGGATTAATGACGTTCAGTGCTGGGATTCCCTGTACATGACTCTTAAGGATTGAGGCTATTGGGTTTCAAACTTTCGGTGAGGATCTATAAGGGTTCCTTTTCAGGGATCTACAGGGGTTCCTTTCAAGGGTTTAGGGCTTAGGGGTTTAGGCTTTAGGGTCCAGGGTTCAGGGTCTATGGCTGCTTCTGGGTTGAGAGTTTAGGGTTCCTTTAAAGGGTTACTATAAGGGTACTATGAGGGTTCTATTGGGGGGACCCTTTAAAGGGATCCATAAGGGTTCCTATAAGGGTTCCTATAAGGGGGTTGGGGGTTTAGCGTTTCTTCGGCCATCGAATCCTAGAACCCCAAGACCTGAACATCAAGCCCCTTTTTGTCGTCCAATCATCTTCTTTGTGTGTTCGTTTCCGTCCTTGTTTTGTTTTATTCGGGTTCCTTTTCCTGGCCCAGCTTTTTGGTTGTTGCTTGGCTGTTTTGTCAGTTTTTCGGGTTGTGTTTGCTTTGTATTGTTTTTCGCACGTCCATTCCTATTGGTTTTTGTATTTAAATTGAGGTTGTGCTTGACATTACGTATTTTATATCAGGATTCCCAACGTCAGCTCGTAAACGGCGCCACAAGTTTAGGGTTTTGGGAGGGATCTCTTCGGCTTTTCTTCTCAAGTGACCCTACAGAGGCCCCGATGTAGTTGACTTGACATTTATAGGATAGGATTTTGTGTCCCTTTAAGGGTTGAGAGGGTTTGGCGTTTAGGGGTTAGGGTTTAGGGTTTGCGGTGTACTATGGGGGCTCAAGTAATTTCCAATACTATTTTGGGGGCTCCTTGTCATAATTATGGTATAGTGGGACCCAAAACCCTATTCTAACCATTAAGGCCCTTATATTATGTAATTAGATAGCCATGTCACTATAAAGGGAACTCCAGAAAGTTGGAATATGGTTTGAGGGTAGGATACCCTATAATTTACCATAAAGGGCTTAGGATAATCCTATTCCAACTTTCTGGCTTTTACTTTAGAGGGAGGATTTCAGAACATAGTCACGAACCCTTGAGGCCGTTAGAATCCTGAGGCCTCAACTCCAAGCCCGCCAGGGAGATCCTGCGTTCGCCTGCCTTCCCCACAAGCTCAGTTGAGAGGGCTTGAATGGCTGCCTAGGGTTTAGGGTTTAGGGTTTAGGGTTTAGGGCTTAGGGTTTAGGGTTGCGCACGATGGGTTTAGCTAGAGTAGGTAACCTTTAACCCTTTAAGGGGGACTATGATCCCTATATATCTCCAATCTACTCTTAACCTTCAGGTCCCTATATTCTAGACAAGTAGGACATTTAGAACAGGGGCACTCGGTCTATGCGTCATGCTCCTAAACCTAAACCCTAAGCCCTAGACCTTGAATCCTAAGCCCTGAAACCTAAGTCCCATACCAAAGAGCTGGACGTGAAACCCCACGCCACCCCAAATTCTGGAGTTTCTGTGAGTCCAACTTCGTCCTGAAGCCTGAGCCCATAGAGCTCTAATCGCGGTTTTGAAGCGCTCTTTAATGGTTTCTATAAGACTACTTAAAGGGTCTTATACGCCCATCATTTGATGTTGAAAAGATGTTGGGGGTTGCATAATAGTCAGGAAAACAGTACGATTCTGGCCCTAAACCCTAGACAGCTTAACATTCGGATTGAGGTTTCGGGGGGGGGGGGTGGGGTGCCGATGCGCGAAAAAGTAGAGTAGTCGTAGGGTTTAGGGTTTAGGTCGGTGGTTGTATAGCCCCTTATAGTCCCACTTACATGTTTTGTTGCTTTATTGTACCGTCAAACCCCTACTCTCCCTAGTCACAGGCCCCCATGGGGGTCGCAACATCAAGCTGATGGCACGTGCTGGTTGGAGGCAAAAAAATGCATGACTGGTGTTGCCTTGCAGCTGCTTGCATGTCGAGATAGATAAGATAAGAGAGAGCGATGACACTGTCATCATTTCCTCTTTGCTTTTTCTGCCGGCATGTACTGTCTCAGTTTTTGTTGGCGTCATCGTTCTCGCGATTGTTTTGGAACTTGATACCACTGCTACCGTGATAGCAGGATCACTGCTATCCGCTGCCTGCACCGCTGCACCGCTGCGACGCCGACAGCGACGACAACAGCGAACGACCGCAATCAACCACCACGGGTGCTGTCGCAAGCGACTGCTGCAGTGACGACGACGTCGGCGCCACGACGTTCTGCTCAGGGTTGCGATGTGTGTTTCTACGCGCTTTGTCCTTGCTGTCATGTAGATTACGGAATGTTACAAACTTTCCTTCAAGGGCAAGACTGCAATGATACTGAGAGCGAAGGAAACGATGAAGCTGATGCTGCTGCTGATGATGATGTTGTGATGATGATGGTGATGGTCGGGCGTTGGCTATGTAGACGTGACAGGGAAGAACATGATGACGATGACGATACTGACATGCCCACATCACTGGTTGCAGCATGAGCTTGTTTTCGTGGCTTTGGTCAGGTCTGCAGTAGAGCCAAAGCCCGAGTCTAAGTATTTTCAAGCTTTCAAGCCGCTCTTGATCAGCTTGCATGTCTCGCTTTCGCCTCAAAGCCGTGGGCACAGACAGAAGTCAGCGATTTCACACTCCGCATTTGCTGTTCGGATAGTAGTGACCCCAGGCCAGCACCATCTCGGAAGTCTTGGAAGCAACATGTAACATGGGTAGCGACTCTGTCAGCGTGTTCAGTCTCAGACA